CAACTGATCTACTGGATTTAGCAATCAGTGCTAAAACCTATTGTTACGTACAGCTCTGTTTGGTAGGACAAGGAACTTCAACGGATGGCTAGAGCAAAGCTGGCTAGAATACAACGGCTTGCGTACCTCGCCATCACTGGGGCAATGTCAAACATACCGACAGGAGCCAAGGAGACGATACTTTATCTAACCCCTCTCCACATTCTGCTGGAAAGGAAGGCCAGGATGGTCTCCCATAGACTCTTGGAGGTGGGTAGTCAATGCAACGAGGACCTGCGATGGGACAAGACGGGGCTGATAAGTAAGATTATTAACCACTACATTCTCGGCGTGGACTTGGACTCGCTTGTACCCTGACAGCGCATAGAAAAGCTATACAGCGTCCTTATTCCAGTGAGAGACATATGGAGCAGGGGGATAGAACCCTCTTCCAGGCGGACTATGCGTTGTACACGGACGGCCTCAAAACTAAAAAAGGAGTAGGAGCTTAGAGTTGACATATCAATAAACCTAGGCTCTCTAGCCACGATCTTCCAAGCAGAAATGATTGCTATAGACTTGAGAGTTGATTAATTTTTTCCTCGCAGACTATAAAGATCTTTTCGGCTAGCCAGGCAGCCCTCAAGGCCCTGAGCTTCAATAGACTCAAGCTGGTTTGGAACTGTTTAAATACCCTTGAATGTCTCGGTCCCGGAACAAAGTTACGTTGATCTGGGTTCCGTGACGAAGCGGTGAGGAGGCCAAAGAAAAAGCCGACGCGCTTGCCAAAAGAGGAACCGAATCTGAGTTTATAGGACCATAATCATTCCTGGGCATTGCAAAGAGCACTGCCAAAGGAATTATCTTAAAATGGAAGGAGGGTACAACACTCACAAACTAGAGAGATTCCCCAGAGCAAAATAATTCGAAGGCGTTTATAAATAACCCTTCTATGAATGCCTCAGATCTAAGAATGGGGTTGGAAAGATTTACATATTTTCACGGGACTGATGACAGGACACTGCCATCCGAGCAACCACATGAAAAGGATAGGTCTGCAAGAAAAATCAGACTGTCGACTCTGCAGCGTGGAAGATGAATCTGTAGAGGACATGTTATGTACCTGCTCCGCTATGGACAGAACCAGGTTTCAGATCTTCGGATTTACCCGACTGGAGCCTACCGACTTTAAACAAGTCTCATCCAATTTATCAAACGGTGTGGCTTGTACGGTGAACTAAAAATTAATCATGAGCCACAATAGATCCATCTGGGTCGCAGTGGAAGGCGATGAGACCATCCCACTCATTTTTGACCTATCCTATCACTACTATTCGTTAGCTTGGCATCTTGTAATTTTGTATTTTAAACAATTTTGAAATTATTGCTAACCTACGGGGGTTAAATCATTCTCTAATAACACAAAAAAAATTAATTGCTTGATAACCCTATATTTTTCAAAAATATTCTAGTGTTGAATTCATTATTATGTGACCAATCTAAATCCCAAATAAAATACAGTGTAAAAGAAACAATAAAATAAACAAAAATCAAAGCCAGTATCACATAATAAAACGAGCGACTGTTTCCATTCAGAAAACAACTACTTCTTTGACTTATATCGCAACAGGCATTGAATTATATCGAAAGAAAAGACAGCAGATATAGAAATTAAATTTCAACACTCTACCTTTATTGGGGCGCTTTTGTCGAGACCTATTTGTCGGGGCGCGTGACTAAATTAATGTCATCAGTAAGCTAAAACAAGCATTAATAACTTTAGTACTAACCTTAAAATAATGTCACTAGCCTATTTGACAGAACTGATACTTAATTTATCATAAAAGTCACTAATTAAATTCGTTGTTTTACCAGATATCTCAAACACTGATAACCGATATTATTAGTCCAAGTTTGATAAAATTGTATTATAAAATTTAGTTAGTGGTAAATACAAAGATTAAACTTTTCTTACAATAAGTGTTCAATATAAATCTCCACCTTCATTAATACAGAGGTCAATTTGACGTGAAAAATTGAAATGAACCTGTTCAAACATGACAAGCATTTTTTCACAGATACTTTATTTATTCTATTTATAATCCACATATATATCACCCTGTATAAATAATATAAAATAAACATAAGAACAGAAATGTATTTTATTATTCAGTCAGTACATTGTATCACCGAATTTAAAAATCTTTTACAAAAGCCCTGATCCATAGCAACAGTAACACAATTTTTTCAGGAAAAATATTTTTGTACAACTTTGCACACTTGCTTTATTTACACTGCAAAATACATTGGTCTCTCTCATTTTTCAGTAATTTAAGCATTAGCGCTAATTCCTTCACACACATAAATCTGTTTCACTCGTGCTAACATAATTATAGTAAAATATAAGACTGTTAAAACATATCCACAGCTGCAAGCGGCAATATTATATATTTCACTGCAAAGAAATGTACAGGAAACATCAGGGGAGATTCCCTCATTCAATCACGACGAAACACGCATACATTTACATGTATTCACACTGGACTCAACAAAACAAACGTTAACAATTCTTTTGACCTCTGACGCATACATTTTGTTGCTTTCTCTCGTCGCAAGCTCTACGCAAATCACTAAAAACATATATTCTGAAATGAAATTAAACCTGCCCACTCATCATAACTCGTAACTCATAACTGGAAAAAGTTTTTAGTTCAAATGAAGAACATATTTAATTTCATCATTAACAAAAAAAGGATGGCAATACATCTACAAGCATCATGTTTCTACTAGCTGCATTACTACAATCCACTGCTCCCAGCTGGTGGACAGAAATCCTTCTTTCTGTGACGGCGATTGAGAGAAAATCAAAGTCGCAGAGAACAACATCCTTTTTAAAATATCGTCGTTTGTCGTAGTACGTTTATATTATATTCCAGAGTTGTTCAGAGTTATTAATTTGAACCTCGAACACTTGTGTTGGCAATACATAATCTTATTTAGTTTTAGCTCCCTTTTATTGTCAATGTTGGTAGGTGTGTGTGTGTGTCATGTGTCAAGAGAACGTAAAACTGATGATAATGCCAAACTCCGAGAGTAATTGCTCGGAGATGCCAAAGATATCTGATAATAGGTCTATTTCCTTACATCGAAAGTGTAGCTCTAAGTTACACAACTTCTGAAAATATCCTTCCATCCATACAATTTGTATAAATGGAACGATGCAAAGGAAAAGATTTATTAGATACGCCTTGTATACATTGAATTTGTCCGCAACAGTTATGCAGATGCCAGGATTAACGTTTTTTCTCTTTTGATGGTTTATTCAATCCTAACCGCAGTTAAATCGGAGGTGGAAAGGTGCGCCATTGAGTGGGATTTGTATTTCCTAGGAATGTAAATGACTGTCCTAGGTTTTTGGTTGATAAGAAAGCTAAAAATTAAATCATTTAGATTTTTAAAACTTATAATTTTGGTTTTTATTATCCAGGGTTCCTAGATGAGTGCTGTTGTATCTTGCTGCTTATCAAGGCGGTGGAATAATGTTGGCGTAGCCACCCTTTTGTGCTGCAAGTTACATTATATGATCGTTAACTCTTTTTTTGCTTCCCGGTCCTCCGTTAAAAATTGGGCAGCAAGGTAGTTATTTATACGACCATCCCTTCCTCTTTTGTAGCTCCTCGGAGTTTTCTTGCTGGAGGGTATCGACTGACATTTTTTCTGGCTCGACATCTTCCAATGTTGGCTTAAATTGGGGGGGAAGAGGGTCCTTTACCAAGGAGTTTTCACTGGACCCCGTTTCACCTCTTTTTCGACCTTTGGCCTTACAGTCAATGAGATGAACGTATAGCTCATCCTCATTGATTTGGCCTTTAGAGTTCTCATGTCTTCGTCTCCGAAGCCGAAGACGAAGAGATGTCCCTTGGAGGTTTTTTTGTTCCATGGTGGAAGGTGCACCATTCAGCTACATGCAAGTTTGGGTTTTGTCCCTCAAGTCACCTGAGCACAACCTTCTTCTCGTCAAGGTCAGCTTGCGCTTCCTCTGGGATCCAGAGAGAGGCTCCTTACAACAGCGAGTGTTGCTCCTTTTCCTGTTTTTGAGGTTGGTACCTTGGTTTTTAACCATTCCAACGTCAGGTCATCGTCGCACGTTACTCTGATGAATTCACCAGAGTGCGTCCAAGACCTGAATGTAGGTGGCTAGGTTTTGCTGCAGGAGGCAGACAAAATTGTTTTTTCCAGCTCTCCCATCAATGTGTTTTTGACAAGGATTTCTTTTTCGGTATTTATCTTACCGTAAGGGTTGTCCTTGTCCATTATAGCTACTTTCAGGTGGCTCGTAGTTGCATCCTTGTAGCTTATTCCATACATAACTTTGTGGTCATGTCTGGGTTTTTTCCCTTTCGAGACGTTATCTCGGAAGAGGTGTGAGATCGCTTCCTTTTCTTGTCGCTAGTTTAGTCGTGTTCCTGTCCTCTTGTGGAGACAGAACTAGCGTCGCTGTCTAAGGACTTGATTAAGCCGCTTTTGTTTAGTTTGGAGTGAGGGAGTTTGCTGAGGGTGGCGGTTGCCGTAGCACTGCCTGCAGCTTATCTCTCTTCATCGTGTTTGCTTCAGATCCAGAGATTCTCTTACCTTTCCTGGGCTTGTTAGTTGGAGGTGAACTACAGTATCTATCCTTCTTTTTTGGAGGTGAGCGTCGCTGTTCAGCATCCTGTGCAGGAGCTGAACTTTGTTGTCCAGGCTCCATTGCAGGAGGTGATCGTCGCTGTCCAGCCTCCTGCGCTGGAGTTGGGCTTTGCTGTCTAGTCTCTTTTGCTGGAGGTGAGCGTTGACGTCTAGTCTCTTTGAGGGTGTCGCCAGGTTCCTTCAGGGGAGCGTTGGTTGCCGCATCTGCCCCTGCGACAATTCATCCGTCGGCACGTTATCTTACACATTAGATTGGGGGAGTTGGTCCTTATAAAGAATAAATTTACAATAGATAGAAACAGTACTTTTTATAAAAAAATCATTTTTGTTTACAGGAGAATGGCTACTAGCAAATTTGAACCAACATATGCCAGGCAGGCTTTCCCCTGCTTCGATGAACCAAACATGAAAGCCAAATACAAGGTTCATCTTTTAAAACCAAAGGATAATTCTTACATTGCTTTATCCAATTTTCCTGTATCTGTAAGTATTAAATCCCATACCTTAACCAACGAATACTTAAAAAATTTGAATTTATTTTCAGAACATCACCGATTATGATAAAGAAAACCAGCTAGTTAGTTTCGAAGAAACAGTTTCTATGTCGACGTACCTATCTTGTTTTATCGTATCCGATTTTGCACATACTGAAACTTCTTTCAATAATGACGGCAAGATGATTCCTCTCAAAGTTTACGCCAGTCCTGATAATTTGCAGAAAACTCAATATGCTGGTGAAGTCGGGAAAAAAGTTATCGAATATTACGTTAACTATTTCCAGATACCGTACCCATTACCGAAACTAGGTAAAACTTTTTTATATCTTGAAATCTAGTTGTAACTTTTTCACTTTTAATAATTATCATTTTTTGTAAAAATTTGTCTGAATTATTTTTAGATATGGTCGCCATTCCAGATTTCGTATCTGGAGCAATGGAACATTGGGGTCTCGTTACTTACAGGGAAACAGCTTTGCTATATACAAACACCACACATTCCACCATAAACAAACAACGCGTGACTACCGTGGTAGCCCACGAATTGGCACACAGTTGGTTCGGAAATTTGGGTAAGGAAAACATTTTTAGGGTAGAATATTTCATTTTACTGTATAATGTAAGAGCTGGAGCTGAAAAACTGCTTTGGTCTTTGATAATATAAATTCCAAGTAGCTTATAATCTTCCATCCTGCTAAGTTTCACACGTCATATCGATGGAGTTTGTTTAAGGCGGGAGGTTCATTGCATTAATTTCAGTTCCAAATGAATTTGAAACCTATAAAAGATAAAGAACTAAGATTTGGTAGACGCCAATATAAATAATGTAACTCTGAGAATAATAAAAATTAAAACTTATACAATAATAAAAAAATGTATATGTTTTTTTATGGAGTCAAGCAAATACTCTATTAATAACTAAATACAATCACGTTGAAACCTATTATCGATGTAATAACGAAGATATACGCGGCAAAACCTACTTTATCGACATTTTAGTTCAGACAATCGTAGATAGATCAGAGAACAATCGATTCGACCGGTTCGCAACAGTCAATACACGCATTGTGTTAAGAATATAGTTTTGATCATTTAAAGTCCAACCAGTAGATAAATGAGTATGTATTTTACAGTTACTTTTCGCTTAGTACTGTAACCAAATCGTTCGAAAATGTTTTTGTGGATGGACATAAGACATAAAATTTAAAGAATTTGTCAGGACTATCAGGAGTTAGGACTCGGGAGTGTGTACTTGCTGTTCGGCGCTTGCCCAGACAACACACCAAATCCCAGAGATATCCACAGAATATCTTTTGTGGATATCCAATATATCCACAGGATATCAGAAATATTCCGTGGATCTAATATGGATATCCAAATGTCCGTGTATGTCCAGAATATAGAAGATATCCTATGGATATTCGGCAAAATATCTAATGAGTATCTTCCAGGCAATACAAGAAATCCCAGAGATATCCACAGAATATATTTTGTGGATATCCAATAGGGATATAGAATTCAGATATTCAGCAAAATATTTTATAGGTATCTTTAGTAGAGGTTCATAAGTAACCAATGTATTGAATAACGTCGAAAGAAAATAGAGATAAAAATATTTCCAACAACCTGCCTTTGATTTTGCCCACTATAAGGGCACTAAGGAGAAAGTCGTCCTTATTAGGACTCTTCAGCAATAAATGGAAATTCTCGACTCCAGTCTCTAATGGAGTCTAATTGCGATACCAATTTCGATCGAACTCAGTTACGGCGGGTTGAGCATGAGTAGATATTCAACGAGCGAAAGTAGTATCGCCATCTATACTTAGTAAGCAAAATCAAAAATTACATCTAGTGGATATCCACCATGGTTTGCGTTCGCGCCTAGACTTTGATATATTTAGTGGATGTCAATGGGATATTGAATACACCTTAAAAAAATAATTTTAAATATCTGAACGGGTACTATTAGCCACAATGGCGAGCACAATGGCGTAATTTTTTAATAATTTGCTATATACGAGGTCTGATCAAAAAATAACCATTATTTTCAATTTTTTTCAAAAGGTATTTATTTATTCATCAATAACTATCTTGTCCCCTTCAAAGTACTCCCCCTCAGATATAATACACTTATGCCAGCGTTTTTTCCAATCCTCGAAACACTTCTGAAACGCGCTTTTTGGTATCGCCAACAGCTCCTGTTTCGATTTCTCTTTTATCTCCTCAATCGTAGCAAAACGCTTTCCTTTCATCGGTGTCTTCAGTTTTGGGAAGAGGAAAAAGTCAGCGGGAGCCAAGTCCGGTGAATACGGTGGTTGAGGCATGATAACGGTTTTGTTTTTGGCCAAAAACTCACGCACAATCATCGATGTATGAGCTGTTGCGTTATCATGGTGCAAAATCCATGATTGTTTTTTCCACAATTCTGTGCGTTTCTGACGAATTGCTTCGCGCAAATGGCGCATAACTTTAAGATAGTATTCTTTATTGACCGTACGACCTTGTGGCAAGAATTCATGATGCACCACGCCATTGCAGTCGAAGAAAACAGTGAGCAAAACCTTCACATTTGACCGAACTTGACGTGCTTTTTTCTGTCTTGGCTCTTCTAGACGCTTCCATTGGGATGATTGGGCTTTGGTTTCAATGTCATAGCTATACACCCATGATTCGTCACCAGTTATGACCTTCTTGAGGAAATCTGGATCGTCGTTGACGATGTTCAACAGCTCCTAAGCGATGTCCAATAATCTTCGCTGCCGCACGTTTCATGTCTAAAACATCCGTAAAAATTGCTTGGCATGAGCTAAACGATATGCCAACATCATCAGCAACCTCTCTGATAGTGATTCGACGATTATCCAAAATCATTTTCTTCACTGCTTCAATGTTTTCATTGGTTGTTGACGTGCTCGGGCGACCAGGACGAGCATAGTCATTGACATCTTCTCGGACTTCCTTAAACCGGTTATACCACAATTGAACTTGTATTCTGCTCATAGTAGACTCGCAAAACGCCACAGTCAACATTTCAGATATCCTTGCGCATTTAATTTCATTTTTTACACAAAACTTAATACAGTTTCTTTGATCCATTTTTTCGAATAGTAAAAAATCGAAGAGCACACCAAAACACGACTAACCTTTTTATCTGTCAAAAACAAACTGACAATCCAAAATGGCTGATATTGCCAACATATATAACAGATATGTGTACCAACATAATAGAAAAAAAATGCAGCATCAGACACCGACAAAATTTTGCCAATGAAGTGCTTCGTGGTCTTTTTTGTTGCAAAACGAACAACAACATATGTTTCTTCTTCTAGATCATATGGGCTAAATGCGTTAATAGGTTCAGGTACACATCGTCTTGAATATTGGCTTTGGTTGATATATACGCTTCTGACTCCTCTTCGAACATTTCAATGTTTTCTTCTCTTAAATTCCATTTTCGTCTGTTTCATTGTCTTTATTACCTAGATCTTCAAATCTGACCGATTCTCCAGGTTTTATTTTTAATGTTGTTTTCTTTCCTTTTCTTAAAGTTTCCCCTGATTACTTTTTCGTTCTTTGAGATAACACAATAAGGCAGTGTCGATCTCTCCCGCAACGTGTTGGTCAAATCTTTTATTTGGCATCTTTTTTAAAACTTTTTGGCATTAGTTTGTATTTTTTTCCATTAATTTCGATAGAAGTTGCGGGAAAATGCTTTTCTCAACACAATAAATTGTCGGTTGTTTTAATTTTATATCTGTCAGTAAGGACCTCCAAGCTTGCTTCACTGGCCTGAATAAACTAACATCCAACGGCTGGGTAATTTGCATCGAATTCGGTGGCAGAAATACAAATCTGATGTTAAGTCTTTGACAAGCTCGAAGAATATCAACATTGATGTGTGAAGATAAATTGTCTCCAATTACCACTTTTGGACAATTATTGTATTTTTTGCCCAAGGGACAATTATTTTCTTCGAAAGTGCCTGAATCAAACCACCCTGACTTGCTTCTACTATAAAGTGTTTGTGGTGGTCCTCAAGATACCCATCTATCGTAAAGACGCTCTGACTTATATACAACGTATAAAGGTAAAAGTTCACCGGTGGCTGTTGCAGCAAACATAAGAGAAACGGCACTTTTGGTGGAATTCATATACCTCTCAGGATATTTGGTTCCTCTACGAAAAATGCATTTCTGAGTGCCAGGATTATCGCTTAAGTTTATTTAATCGTAGTTGATTGTATATTCAGGCTTAACTCCCTCTACTGTACTTCCGAGGCGGTTGAAGTAATCTTCCATTTTTTCTTCAGTTTTTTCCGCCCTATAGCATTTTAAATTTTGGCAGTGCCTTTTAGTCAAAAGATGTTTGTATCTGCGAATAAAATTGTCCAGCCAAACTTTTCCAGAAATATTATCTATAAAGATTTGGTCTCTTAGTCCTTTACTATCCAAATAGATACGCTCCCACTGCTTCAAGCGAACATGGACTCCATCTCACCAAGATATATATTCCATAAGCCATATAAAGTTATAATAGAACAAATACAAGAGCCAGAAGTGGCAGGTACGATTCATATCTACACCGACGGTTCTAAAACAAACCAAGGCTCAGGATGCGGAATATACTCCAGATTCTTAAACCTAAACATAAAATGGGCTGTGAGCAATAGTGCCAGTGTAGTTCAAACAGAGCTAACGGGGATTCTCATAGCAGCAAAAGAAATAACCAGAAATAATATCACTGGAAGGAACATGCTCATCTATACAGATAGCAGACAAGCACTACTCACCCTGAACAGACCACGAATTTATTCAGGGTTAGTACTCAAATGTCATGAAGCTTTGGCCGAAGTATCCATCAACAATGTGGTCACCTTAAGATGGATCAAAAGTCACGCCACATCGAAAGGTAACCGTCTTGCCGATTCACTAGCCAAGAAAGCAGCCAACCAAATACTTTTTGGACCTGGCCCTTCTATTGGCCTGGCAAAATCGGTAGTGACAGACCTAATTAAAGAACATTCCCTTGTGAAATTCAAGGAAAGATGGGATGAAACAAGAAACTGCAGAGTTGCCAGGGAGCTCTTAAGTTATCCTGACAACACTGCAGCAAACAAATACTTGACTATGACTAGACAGAATCTGCGTCTGGTCACAGGCATTCTGACTGGTCATTTCCAAGTATGGAAGCATCTCCACATCATTGGGCTGTCAGAATACGCACTCTACAGAGGGTGCGAACAAGAAGATGAGACCATCGAGCATATCCTTTACGATTGCCCGACGCTCTCATTTATTAGAAGATTTGTGTTCGGCGAGTATCGGCTAACACCGGCCGATATAAAAGAAGCACCTCTTGGCGACGTTGTCAACTACATTAAATCTGTAGGCTGGCTGACGAGCTAGGAGGTGCCTATCATCTTAGGATGATGCACAATGGGCCTAATGAGGCCTAAGTGCCGTGGGGGTAACCCACCATCCACACGTTACAGATACAGATACTATCCAAATAGTTTTTAATTAGCATCCTAAACTCTATCATCGTCAATGGTGAACCATATTCTGCACATGCT